GGTGGGGAGGAAGTGAGGGAGCCTAGAGCTGGGGCGGCAGGGGATATGGGTGGGGGGGAGAGCCCAGGGCTGGGGCAGCAGGGGGGTGCGGCAAGGAGCCCAGGGCTGGGACAGGGAGGCAGCCAAAATGTTTTTTGCTTGGGGCGGCAAAAAACCTAGAGCCGGCCCTGAGCAAGAAACATGGAAGCTTAAAATAAACTTGGAGACTTACAAAATAACTCTTGTAGCCTAGAATATGAAGCTGGTGGGTGAAATCCTAGCCCTCTGAAATCAATGGCAAAACTTCCACTTGACTTCAGTGAGGCCAGGATTTCACCCAGGATGTTTTACCAAAACTCCTAATTTGTCCCAGATATCTGTTTAAACTATTTACTCCATACAATGGCCACCAGCTTGTCTAGTCAGGGCTGAAGATGACAACTGTAACTCAGGGAAGTTTACATACTGACCATATACCTTATCTGTTGCAAAGAAATAAAAGGAAATTGAACTGCTGGGATCAATTAGGCAGCCACCAGGAAGAAAAGTTTTTCTTTTTAAATAAATGAATAAAGGCACTAAATTTATTATGATTGGCAAACAGGAGCTGCCAATCTGACATTTTTACAAACAACAGTAAGAAAAAGACTTTAACTGCCTGGGTCCCATTGAGAAACCAACTAAAATCTGAGAGGGGGAGAAAAGAAGCAGGAACTGTAGGGGGCAATTGTGGATCTGGCAAGTTTTGTCCTGCTGTTTTCAACACCTTTTGTAAAGAGATTACGGCCCAAATTCAGCAAGGCACTTGAGCACTTCCCTAACTTTGAGCATGTGAACAGAGCTAGTGACTTCACTGCTTGCACGCTTCAAGTGAGGCACATGTTCAAGTATTGAAGGGTTAAAATCCATATGCATTTTATAGAACAACCTGGTATATGGATTGTGCCAGCTCTTTTCCAGACCCAAAGTCCAGAGTATGATCAAGAGAGCAGAGGCCTAGCAAATAGTGATCAGCTAAGAGAAAGCTGGGGTAAACAAGATAACGTTGCCTTTGCTAAGATATGCTTGGTCAGTAGAAATGCCAGATGTTGAAGCAATAACTGAATAATTATGTTTCATCCAATGTTTCAAATTGAACAAAGAATCCCTGTTCCTATTGTGTTAGTCTCTTCTGTAGAGAAACGTTCGTCTCACAGATCCAACCTTGAGTTTATGAAAAGTTGGCACATGTCAGTATAAGATATGGCCTCCTTCCACTTCCCTTCTAAGGGACCAATGCCTTGCCTTAAGACATAAAGGAAACAATCTTTATTGCCATATACTTTCACTGTTTCTTTGCTTTAACCCCTAGGAATGTACCTGTTGGACAGTCAAAGGAGTTGCTCCATTCCTATGGACCCCAAATCAGAATTCAATATATATATTTTATACTAATAACATTTTATCACAGTATTAATTAAATGTTAATTTGCTAACTTGAGACCATGGGCGGAGACATTATGTAACCTGTTAACCATTGGCTAATGTACTATCTTGTCTTGCTGCAAAACCTATCCCGGGGTGTGGAACTGCCTACTCTGTCACTTTCCCCCACCCATGGAAAATCTATATATTCTATTGTAATCAATTGATTGACAGTATCTCTGAGCCTAATAAGTAAGGTGACACTCCGCCAGCGCTGTGTGTAATAAATTCCTATGCTTGATCTCTACACGGTGTGGATTTATGTCCTTCAAGTATCTTGCTGAATCCAGGGCCAAAACAGCAAGTATTTTAATTCCTTATTGTTACTGAATGCAATCACACACTTGCGTAAAACCGAGTTGATACACTTACGATTCTTTACTGCACACACATTAAAACTTGTTGAAAAATGAAAAGCCATTTTTGCAAAAATGTTTGACATTTTGAAAATCCAGGAAATGTTGTTGAGATTTTAAAATAAATTGGAATAGTCTGGTTCATAAATTGAAAAATTACATTTACCAAAAGATTTATTTGCAAAATCTGGAAAACAAAATCCAGAGTATCACCCATCATCCTCATTCTTTAACCTAAAAGTGCTTTACTGGTTTTACTGTTAATTTGCTTAGGGAAAATATAACTCTTAGCCAGACTCTTGTCCACCACTCGTGCTGCACAAAGGAGAGTAGAGAAGTGCACTAACAGGGCAATTGGAGTCTCCCCTTGTGTAGGAGAATCCAGGGGTGGCATAAAGGTCATTTATTTGGCTCTATCCCACCTGCTTCTGGCCCCACCAATGTAGGGGGTGGGTGTTAGGAGTCAAACGGGGTGTGCCCAGAGACTACAGTGCTCCAGTAATCCTGAACTGGTGGAAGAGCCTCTGTTGCAAGAGTGTCTGTAACTGGACATATATAAATAGTTAATAGATCAAACGCTGATAGGTGGCACTCAAGATCATGTACTATAGTTCCTAGGTTTCATAGGACCCAGAACATACTGTTGTACAATGCAAATAGCTTCCTCTTTGCAGCTCTTTCCATGAAGCCTTTAGCAGCCCCTACAGGACATTCCATCTCAAACTAGAACACCCCGAAGGCTGAACCAGTTCCCAACTGCTCTAAGGACTGGGGGAGGCAGAAAAGTGTTGGAAAGCCCCAAATGCTACTCCACCTATCCTTTGTCACTTGGCAGGGCTCAAACACACCTGGAAATGTTGTAGTCTGTGGAATTTTTGTGGCTTCTTCCTCCCTGCCCCAACTTTGGTGAATCTGAGCCAAGGGAGGTATTATTTGTGCAAGACATTGTGAGAGCTGCCATGCAACCGCACATTGTCCCAGATTTGAATCCTTTTTGGTACTAAACATTTGGAAACAACAGTGGAGGTCCAGGAGAATTCTGCTTGGAAAACATTTAAAAGTTAACCTACCTCTCAGCCTATTGAGTGTGGATGTAAATTAGTCATTCATCTACAGAAATAACAAGAACGGCTTTCACACTGAAAAAGAAACAAGTCTTCCATTCCCAGATCAAACAACAAGCCCAGTGATCTGGCTGACTGGAGCTGATAAAACTTATAGCTGAGTTGCGAAATGGCCAAAATTCCTCACATTTTCTTGTGACTAGTACTTGGAAAAGTTGGGCAGAAACCTTAGTAATGTAACAAAAAAGGGGGTCAGGAGGACCCTGTCACTAAATAACAAGCAGTTAAAGAAAGTGTTAAAACCGTGACAAAAGTTTGATGTTAAATGTTTCTTAGTTGGAATTACAAAGAAGTGCAATAAAGACCACTGACTGGAACTTATATAATCCAACAATAATGAAACTGGTAATTTTAAAGAATAATCTTTCCATTAAAAAGGAAAAGACAGGGTTTAATGTAAATGGGTTATAGTGCTCACAGGGAACATGCATAAGTATGGAAGCCTGGGGTAAAAAGCAGGAAAACCCATGGCTAATTCTCCGGTTCTCAAAATAAATGCTAACGCATCTTCAAAGACGATGATTAAGACACTCGTAATGAAACTACATCAAGGGAAAACTGATCCAGTCTATACTCAGTAATCCTGCCCCCTCCATCCTGCGGGCACAGAGGCACAGACAGTAGAACTGGTGCAGTTTTGCTGGGTGGAGGGACCAGGATGCAGGAAACCCAGATGTTGCCTTGTTTTGCAGGGCCTTCATCTCTCAATCAGTAGGTGGGTTGTGCTGTAAGGCCAGAGTGGGGATGGAAGTTTGTCTGATGGACCTTTAACGATGCAGATACTTTGTGCAACCCTCTGTGTGAGTGAGAGGGTCACAGCTGCTAGGGGGGTTGCCGCAGCCATGACAATCTTTTTGTGGGTGCTACACAGTTGACTTCAATGGGCACAGAGTTAGGCCAGGGCTGGGTTCTTTTGAAAATCCCACCTCAGTGTTAAGAAAGTACTCACTGGGGAAGTGTGAGCTTTAGATATTAAATTATTATTCCCATTGTTATTTCTGGTGTGAAAAGATTGGTAATATCCAATGGCACCACTCAATTCTGCAGCTACAATCATACAAAATAAGGACCAAGACAGGAGGCCCAAGGTCCAGTAAAATTGCACACTTACATTTTCCTGTGCAAGTGCCACATACGCACACACAGCTAGCTGGTGCCTAAATAGACAATTACACTTGCAATTGACCAGTTTGTCTGCTCACTAGCAGTAATTGCATGGGCAAATGTGGGTGTATAAACTCATGTCTCCTTTGTTATGGACTTCAGGCCTTTTTTATCTTGACAATTTGTCCAAAGCGACTCAGCATCTGAAGTTCTCTCTGCTAGAATTAGTGAGGGCCACATGAATGATTATGATGTTGGACTAGAACTGCTCACATCATTGCACTGTTCTATAGCCCCCCGTCAAACTGCTCATGAAGTAGTATCCCCAAGGCATTTATGAACTTGTATTAAGAAGCATGTTTTATTCAGCTTACTAACTGATAATCTGCAGAAAATGACCTAAATGGAACCTGGCTTGTCATTGGCTAGCCTTGATTGATTTAAACAGTGGTGACTTTAGGCATAGGTTTTAGTCATCCTCCCACACTTCCTCGTTGCCTGTCTTCATGCCTGTGGCAGCACATCAGTATCATTACCGGCTAGTTGGAAGACATCTTTCACTCCTCCAACCTGAAAGTATAATCTGTTTCTCTCTGCTGAGAGGCACTATGCAATGCTGGGTGGTTCTTCCTCAGCCCTTATTCTACAGACCCAGGTAAGAAGAATTAGGGATAATGAAGGGGATTTGAAAAGTGGAAGATTGACAAAGAAACCTGGAAGGAGTTCCTCTGGGTAATGGGGAATCTTGGAAACTTTTGCCTGGTTCTGAGTTTCATCACAAAAGTTTTGGGCACAGCATCTGCAACTTCCCCTGTAACATGCTGCCAAGAGCATATTGGAGGGAGGGTTGCTTTATCTTTTATCTTAGCACATAGGATTGACTTTCCATTGGTTATAGGACTTGGGGGATTTTTATGTTTTGCTTCAACATCTAGAGGGGATTTTTTCCCAAACGACAAAAAAGGAAGTTGATTGAATTTGCTTGACAGTGACACTGAACTTGGCTCCAGATTAGAAGCATTTGGCAGCTTCACTGAAATTAGAGATGAGACTTCACTGAAATTAGCAACATTCACAACATAGAAAAATGTTTGGTAGACGGGAATGACAAGACCTCCCCCGCCCCTGTACATATTTGTTGAAGTAGCTTCGATTTGGTTAGTGAAAGAGCATGTTGGGAAGTAGAGAAAAGAGACTTTTTTCATAGATTCATTTTCAGGCCAGATGGGCCCATTAGATCATCCAGTCTGAGCTCCTATATCTCACAAATCATTACCCTTCACCTGGTCCCCATGCATGGAGTCTGTGATGGGGTGTTCACCCGACACTTGCCCTGAAAGGGTTAATGCAGACTGAGAAAGGAGCTAAGTCACCCAACAAGCTGCAGGTGAGGGGAATCAGGTAGCTCAATCCCCTGATTGAATGAGGGAGCCCAGCTGAGGAGGAAGGAGCTGGGCTGGATTTACAAAGGCAGGAAATTGTTAGTAGAAGAGAGGCTGCTGGGAAAGTTGATAGTCATGCCCTGGGAGGAGAGTTTGGGGACTGCAGAGATGCATAGCCTTTTGTTACTTCCTGGGAGGAGGGAGCAGTGAAGTTGGCAAACCCAGAGAGGGCGGGAGTGCCAGATGGTAAGGAAAGGGCTCCAGGAAAGGCAGTAAGGTCCAGGAGAGAACAGATCTTCTCTTCTGGTAAGAGGGTCCCTGAGCAAGAGCCTGGATTAGGGGGTGGGCCTGGGTTCCCCTGCCAGTCTCTGAGAAAGTGGTGTTATGAGGCAGTGAGTAGGAAGATTGCCTGGGATTGTGGAAGAAACCCTTTGGTACTGCGGAAGGGGAAAACACTAATAGTGACCTGGCTGACTCACAAAGAGGCAGCTCCTGGGTGAGAGAGAGGCTGCAGTAAGAGAGAAGGATGGAGAAATGGTGTGCAACTATGGGATGGGGTGTTGACCTCATGAAGCTAATCCCCAGAATGGCCAGAAGGAGGCACCATCCTAGCAGTGAGTAAAGCACCCTATCTCAGAGCCCAGTAACTTGTGTTTTTGACTAAAGCATAACTTATGCCTAGCTAAAGCATCTCTTCCATAAAAGCATACAGTCTTGATCTGAAGACATCAAGAGATGCAGAATCCACTACTACCCTTGGTAGTTTGTTCCAGTGCTTAATCACTCTCACTGTTATGAATTCGTGCTTAATTTCTAAACTGACTTTGTCTGGCTTCAACTTCCAGTCACTGCTTCTAATTTATGGGAATTAGAATCTTTATAATTTTTTCCCTTCCCGTATATGTTCTGGATTTTTAGCTTTAGGATATTTCAAAGGACATAGTCAATGTATTTTTAATAACTTCACACCAATATTTTCTC